GGGTTTGGGAAAAAGAAGAAGCCCGACAAGGAATGGACTTCACCCTACACGCTTGCCAGCATGGAGAGGCCAAGCCTATGGAACCTGGATGGCTGCAACAAACCCAGAGAACCCAATACCCCTTAACTAAGGAACATAGCATAAATTATAGGGGCGTTATTAATAATATGATTTAAGGCATATTCCTCAATTAAGGGGTATTGGGTTCTCTGGGAACCTGCCACTTTGTGCGCCGCCCTGTGTCAGAAGCCCGAAGTACTAAACAGACAAAGCCTGACCGTGATCCCTTGAAGAATGCAATGCATCTCCTCGGGTGATGCCTTAACACTCATGTCCAAGCCGTCAGGAACAATCTAGAAGACCATGTGCCTGCAATTTCCCCAGCACGAATCCTTTGAGGAGGCGAGGCCCCCTATCTTGCACACCCGTATAGTAGCCCTGATTCTAGACACGTTTCAACGAAGCCCTTAAAGTGAACCCTGTCCTCTTTAGAGCATCACCGTGGCAGGCTGTGTCCATCTCCACCGCTCGGGACCCAAAGGTTACCGGTTCGGAAGGTTCGCATGACTTTGGCTTGGACAAGGGGTGATGCATGAACCCCCCTTTGTCTTTAAAGCCGGTAACACTCTTACAATCCGTATCACGAGTCAAGGGTTCCTTATAATCAGGGCCCGCAGTATGACCTTGAGTTTAAGGGTTTCTAGGTTACCGAGCAGTACTCTTTTGCCCTTTTTCTTTGTGGGTTCCCTTATCAAACCCAAATAGTAGGAAAAGGGTATCCTTATTATTAAGGGGCTGCTCAGGAGCCTAGGTTTGGTTTTCGGGGCCAAGCGTTGTTATGGGAGGTTTCGGGCTCCAACCCCCACTCCCTGAACCCGAAGCTCCAAAGCACTCCCGGATCCCTAAACATCCGTCAACCCTTATTCCCCAAAGGCTCCATGTACCCATATAGTATATACTTAGACCCTAAAGTACCTATATAGGAACCCCTTTAAGGCCTAAGTATATACTATATGGGTACATGGAGCCTTTGGGTGCTTAAACCCATAAACGACCCAAACCCCGAACCTTGATCAGCTTTGGGGCTCAAAAGAAGTTCGACAATGCCCTCAACCGCAACCCTTCCCCCAGAGTCCGCATTGGGCTCTGCGGCTAATATAGGGGCCTTAATAATTAGGACAATTTTTTTTGGGGGGATTATTACACTATAACTATAGGAAGGAGCCACCAAAACCCTATTCCAATTATTAAGGACCCTATCTTATATATTTATAGAATGCTTATGATTGCCCTTATAGTAAACCTTGAAAGGAACCCCAGTCAAGATTAAAAAAATCCAAAATAGAAAGTCTTGCGCCTCCCAACCCTAAACCCCTAAACCTCTGAACCCGTAAACCCTAGATCCCTCGAACCCTAAACCCCTGAACCCCTAAACCCGAAGCCCACAGACGAAGCAGAGGCGTTTTCCTGAAACCGACCTGTGCGAAGCTCCAAAAAGCTTGCTCTTTGGCTCGTCTTCGTTGTATCATTCTCAAGTCCAATTTTGTTGGGCCCGCTTTTCTACGTGCTATGATTGACGCTGCCTGCCTCAGGATCCCCTTCAGATCTCGGGCACCGTTGGGTGGACACCGCTGAACGAAACCGAGGCCCGGCCGGACATTCTGCTCGCAAGAATGGGAACCTGTAAATGATCGACAGGCAGCACTGTCACGAAAAATACATGCTTAGGTACGAACGGCAAGAGTCTCTGCCAACAACGCTTACTGCTTTGTTTGGCCAGGTAGATGGCATCAATATTTATGTGCTGGCCTTGGCATGCTGCTTCGGCACTGGGCGGACGAGGTAAACGGCTGTTGTTGCTTTCTTCCACTGTAAAACGCAATCTGAACCCTGGAAAGAAACCCGTGATTTCCGCAGAGATTTCGTGCATAGGTCGCCAGCGATGCTGCCGGGAGCAGCAGGACCAGTTGCATTGTTTATGCGGTTTCTGCTTCGGGATTGTAGGCCGTTTTGATTCATATTCTTGCCTTGGCTGATCAATGTGAGCCCGAGTTGAGAAGCCGGTTGAGTAGGTTTGTGCCGAAAGCTGACATTTTTGAGGATTCCCTCTAATTGCTATGAAGATCATGTCGGCACGTCCTTTGAGTATCCTGGTCCTAGTCATCGTCACTGTGCAGGAAAGTTCTATGCAGTCTCTTCTGAGAATGATGGGTGTCCTTTGGGTCTCATGGCTTTCCCACTGTAGACATGATATCTTGCCCAAGAAGTGGCATGACAAATTTTCAGTTCTTCGATCTTTGCCGATGTCGGTTGTTGCAGGGCGTTCTGTGGGTTCCCAACTCTACATCTTTTGCCTCAAATCCGTGAGCCCTGTTCGGTTACTCGCAGTCATAGATAGCTTCCTGACGCTGTCGGCGTCGCAGGACGCTCTTGGGCTCCGTCTCCGCCATCGACGGGAGCTGGGTCCCCGGCATCCCAACTTCCTGTCGGGGGAGAGGTTAGGCATAAAAGTGGGGTCGTTTATTTGGCTGTAGTGTAGACATTTATATCTGCAGTAACAAATTCCAACGTCGCTGCCCTCGCCCTCGACTGGCCTTTCATTCGTGCCTCCGGTGAAACTGCCGCTTCTTCCTTCAACGTGTGTGGCTACGGCGGTCCAGATTCGGCCCGCACTCCATGAACTCGGGCTGCAGGTTGGACGGTGGTCCTTAGCATTCGGATGTGGTGGGCGCCTGGACAAATTGCTGGAATGCTCCACATGCAGCGGGCACGACGACGGGCGGCACATCCTTCGCGTGTTCTAACTTTAGATCGCTTCGACTCTCAAGCTGATCATCTCCCCATCCTGGGAAAAGCCTTGGACTGCTTGCCACAGACATGAATATTCCGTGGTTCTCGGCCGATGCATAAGCCGTCGTCCCGAGTCCCGCACATGATCGTAAACCTGGGACACAGCTGTGAGCTTCAACGTGAGCTCGTCATACTGATCTCCGCCTTGCATGATCCGTCTTGTCATTGCGCTCTTTCTGCCATGCACGGGGAGCCGGCTTCAAGCCAATGATTTATAAGCTTTTGCCGGGAATCAGAATGTCGGCGGCCTTGAAGTAACCTATCCTGCTGGCAGCCAAGGTTGTTTATCTAGATTCGATGTCTAGGCTCCAATAGAACGTTCAAAAATGCAGCTCGTTTATCGAAGGCTTCGGCAATCCCTCTTGTTTTATTCCGGTTTCTGGCCCACACACGCGAACCAGGCCATCGCCGATGCGCTGTTGCCCTACGGGACGGCGGTCCAGCGAGACGCTGCTATCGCGGCGGCGCTGGCAACCATCGACCTGACCCCCTGCTGGACCATCGCCCAGGTGCAGGCGGNNGCCATCACGGCGGCGCTGGTGCCGGTCACGCTGAGCAACGGATTCTTGCAAAAAGGAAGCATGCTCACTGGCGCTTTCGGAACTGTGGAGTGGGGCTACACTTGCATGGGTGAGACTATTTTCCTTGCTGCCCGCGGATGTCTGGATGTGATGAAGATGCAACCCGCTTCTAGCTTGGAGTGCAGACGGTTGGTTAATTCTGAAATGTACCGTAGGGTTACAGGTTTGTCGCAGCATTTTCGAAACCCCTGCATCATTGTTTGTTCAATTTGGAACAAGCTGGTGTTCTACCTCGGCCCCAAATCTGAAAGCCCTAAACCCTACAGCCTATACCTGCATTCATTCCATCTTGATTAGTCTTTTTGCTTGGGTTGTGATACTTGGCGCCCAGACGCTGAAACTTCAAAAACCGCAACACGCTTACTCCCCAAGCTGCAGCGAAAGTGCTTGACTGAAGCCTGAACCTTAAATCCTAAGTTTAGGGAGTTGAAAGTAGGGCGGCTTCGCCGCAGGCATGAAGCCATGGCAAGTGTTTGCCAGACCGCGTAAAAAGGTTACTGTAACGGTTAGATTTAGGTTACTATCACAGTTGCTGCAGGGGTTTCTGTATGTTTGCGATAAGGGTGTCAAGGTTACTCTTACGGATGATCTGAGCTTGAGAGGGTTTGACAGTTCTAGCAGACCCTTCAGGGTAAGTAGGAGCTTGGGAACCTTAGGGAAGAGTCAGTTTAGGGTTTAGGGCTTAAGGTTCAGTTGAAGCCTTCTACAAAGGGTTCTAGATGGAGTCTGTAGGGGGGGAGCGGGCTCTACAAGAGTTTCTGCAAAGTTGACGTTTTTTCTCCAAACTTGTGCGGGGTGCTTGTGGAAGTCTTTGGACTGCCAAAAGCTTTTTCACAACATCCCTCAACCGTACACCGTAAACAAAAGCCTTTACATCAACCACGTACTACGTGTAACAACCCTAGACCCTTGGAGCCCTCGAGTCCTAGAGCATCGCCCTGAACCTCAGATGAAGAGCTTAATCCCCAAACTTTCAGAGATCCCAATATGCCTAGGTTGCGAAGGCTTCTGGTGTCAGAACCGAAACGGTTTGCAACGGTTTGCTTGCATTGCAGCCGTGGCTCGGTCTGACCATCATGCAATGCCACCAACTCAACATGATCATGGTCAGTTCTGCAGCAAAAGCACCTCACAGTCTGGTGTTCGTCATGTGTTGCATGCTATGTGGCTATGTGAGACTCAGGCTTAGCAAAAGGCATGATGTTTTGCCCAGCTGATGTGGGCATCCTCTCGGAGCTTCACATCCAAATGCAGGAATTCCATCGGCTCTGTGGTGTTGTGCGAGTGCGCCACATGCCAGTACCGGCCGGTCCCAGTCGCAGTCGCAAGCAGTGGTACTGGTAGTGGTACTGGTAGTGGTAGTGGTAGTGTTCCCGCAAACATGTCGGTTGTGCTGACAAGCTGGGCAGCACGGCACACGTTTTTGACGGTGGGGGAATGTTGTGCGGCAATGATTGGCTACATCAAGACGCCCAGGGCTCACTTTGCTGCTTGTCGTTTTCGCATCGGGCTTCGAGTAAGAACAGACAGGTCAATAGAGGCACTAGCAGAAGCAGTTTTCCGGTGTGAATGTTTTGCCATGGCTTTCGTCGCATTTCTGCTGCCCTGAGCCACCCGGGTTTCGGAGCTGGGGCCAGAGCCTTTGTGTTTCACGGTCGCATCGTGGTGGAGGAATGGTGGTGCATTCGGTTGTCATTTTCGGTTGCGCTGTCCACTGATGGCTCTGTCCAGGTCCTTTGTTTGTCGACACACGTCTTGGCGAGAAGGAGGAACTTCACTGCTTGCGAGTCCGGCATCCGCCGAGACAGAGGCATGGGTTGGAATTCGGGACGACGCCACAACTGCTTCTGTAGAACTGGGAGGTTTTGGCAGTGATGGTCCAGCTCGGCGCATCCTCATCGACACCGATCCAGGCTTGTGAACAGCGCTTTGAGAGCGAAACCGTCTCAGCAACGAAAAGTCAAGACTCCTAGACCGACTGACAGGTGTTGATGATGCATTGGCGATTCTGTTGGCATCGGGATCGCCAGAGCTGAAGCTGGAAGGATTGTCCATAGCTTTTGGGAATGGCAAGGAGCACTCGTCTCCTAACTTTCGATTGTCGGTATGCCTGAGTTTGGTTAGATCAACCCGCCGACCTCACCTAATGCTTGGTCAAGAGTTATTGTTGCTACGAGGACATCGCAGCCCTCGGCCGCTCAGACGCCACAAGCATGACTGTCTGCATGGTTTCTCATGGTCGCACTTTTGTTGTGTTTCAGACTTGCACGAAGGCTTGCCTGCTGCCAGGTTCCAATGCCAAGATGCTTCTTCGCTTGGTGGGCTTAGCGGAGACCCCGGTTGCTTTGGGTGCACAGCCCGATCTGCACGACGGTGAAGCAGGCTAGTTGCCTGCACTTCAAAACGCTGTTTGCTCTCTGTGAATGTTGGAGTACTGAGTACAGTATGGATTTGATAGTCGTAGGTGTCAGAGAGTTTCTTGACGCCCTCTTGAAGGTGCCATGGTCAGTCGTGAAGGTATGAAGAAAGCCCTGGTGCATGGAGAAGACCACATGGGCAATGTCAGCTCTTTGGCGGCATCATGCGCTGACCGAGACAGCCACTCATGAGATGCCAGGCATTGCCTGCCAGTCAGGTGCCAAATATGGCAAAGATGCTTCAGATCGAACAGGATTTCACGAGCTCGCTGCACCGGAGTTCATCTACGAAATGTGCAAGTGCAGCTTGAACTGACGCACAGTGAAGGGCAGTCCTTGACACAAAGAGGGCTGGGCCACGTCATCAGCCGATCAATTCCCAAACCAGCTGACACACGAGCACAAACGAGAAAGTTGTAGGATGTCTCCTATGTGGCCAGATGCGACCCGTGCTCTTTGCTCATTTGCGCGTCTTGCTTGTCTGCTACCTCACCCGGACAGTTTGTCAGTCAGTTAGTCACTCACTTCTCGTTTCTGAATTCGCTCGTGGTAGGCTCATTGAGGACGTGTTTCAGATTCCGGCCGGGTACGATGGTGCCGCTGCCGTGCACGGTTTTCGGTTGAGCCACTCGCAGGCAGTCCGCGGGAGATAACGTTGGTCTGCATCGGCCCTCTCCACAACCTGGCTGCAGCCCTGGACTTGCATCCAGACCTGCCACAACTTCTCCGCTACTCGGCGATTAAGTGTTTGTTGCCTGCGCCATTTTTCTCTTTCACTTGGTAGGTGAGGTTGTGATCATGGGCGGTGCTTTTGGCGAGCGCCGTGGCAACCGGACGCCGTCTGCCGAAGCCAACTTCTTCGACGGTCCAGAAGCTGCCCAGGCACGCAGAGGTGTCCTGCAGTCGTAATTCCAGTTCCTAAAATGCCATCGATTCGAACTCCTGGAGCTCTTCCAGAGGCAGTGCTGACCGCTGGCTTTGAGAGGCTGGTGTTAGCAGGCCGGGGCTGCAGGGGCAGAGAATGCTCTATCCCTTTCCAGGTTTGGGAGTAGTTGGGTTTTTCCCAAAAAATTGCATCGGCTTTGATGCGTTGCAGGCTTGGACATCACGCACCAGACAGACATGCTGGTTTTGCGGAAGGAATGTTTGGAATCTGGATCTGCCTTGTCCCAGTTTGTTTGGGAACTGTGCGAGAACTTCATCAACGTCTATCACGCTGCCCTGCCAGCAACCAGCACACCCTTGTTCTTCATGTTGTTGCCGTCGCTGTTGTTGTGTCTACTTCAGGCTTGTATGCCCCGTTGGTCTTCGCTTACTGAGAGCTTACTGTTCTTGCTTTTCAGGTCCGTTCTGCAATCATTGCAGTGATGATGGCTAGTGTGAGACTCATCCTTACCGGCATGGTAGGCATGACGGGCTTCACTGCAGCGGCCATTTAGGGCCCCGAAGTTCTGATTCTGCCACGGTTTGGGCTGCTAAGTTCGTAATGCAAAAATTGACCGTGGTAGCTGTTTTGCTGCAGCGCTAGTGGCTGCTAGGGTGGCGACGGTGGACACGACCATGGTTACATAATGGTGACGATAATTCAGTAATGGAAATGACGACTGATGACCATGACGAACGCAAGCATTCCCACTGATGATGCAGACGACGATGACTGTGTGATGATCGCAGTCGAGGTGGTGGCGGTGGTGATGGTGGTGGTGTTTTAGTTTTGGCAGTGCTTGGTTGATTGTGGGGAAAAAAGAAAAGCAGGATGACCCATCCCAGGACTGGGGCGAGACCCTTGCACCAGCACACGACGCAGTTCCCATCATGTGCCGAGCCGGACTTTGGTTTTAGGTTTACCGCGCCATCCCCCTAAGCCAGCCTAAGCCAGCGTATCTCTACGGAGTTGAAGCGATTCCTCTTCGGAGTTTTGAAGTTCGGGCTACGCGCAGTCTCAGAGTGTTGGAGCTCAGAAGCTCCTGTGAGGTACCTGCTTCGACCCGACCTCTTCGAAAGTCAAAAAGTTCGGGTCGAAGTGGAAACGCGAGGCGAAATTACTCGCGGGATGTCCATTGCAGACTGGAAGGGTCAGTGGGGCAAGGAAAGAAACTGCACAGTACTTCGCAGGAGACTTGGCTAAACATGGATGTGCGTGAAGTTGCTTGCGCAGTCACACGATTTGACGCCGGTGCTTTCAAGGATTAGAGACCGTGACGAGTTCTACCGAGTGTTCGTTCGAGCTATTGCTCGTTTGCCCGTGTCCACAAACTGAAGCCGAAGACGGCAGCACAATGCTGTACATAGTTACATAGCCATAGCGAAGCTCGCGAGGCTCCAATCGCTGGATGTGCTGTGGCATTGCCAAGAAAAGTTTGGCCCGTCGCTCCAATCGCTCTCAGCGCCGTGTCGGCGGGTTGAAAGGCGTTCCGGGCTCCGAAGCTGCCCGCCAGGACTTCGTGGTGCGACTTTCGGGTGCCTTGAGAGAGCTCTCGGAGTCAGGGAAGGACCGCGGAACATCTGAGGTCACAGAGTCTGCAAGTTCGAGCCTTGGCACCCCACGAGGGTTTCAGCCTATCGTGGCAGGAGGGCGAGCCGACAGTGCGGAAACACGCACAAGGCCGCGGCAAGCCGACCGACTTAGCTTGTTATGGCGAGGATGATTGTCACGAGCAACGTGCTTGGCTGTGATTGTTCGTTTGACCTGTTGCAAGTGTCATGTTGGAAATCATGCGTTTTGACTGTATCTTGCCCGTGACATCTTGCATGGAGAGCCCGGTTTCGCAGATCGGCGGCTTTGTCAGTAGGAAGGGGTCAAGCGACTGATCTTATTTGGACACCTTTGCCAGTGCCCTCATGGTCGTCTTGTGGTATCTCACCTCACCGATCCTCACCGTCGCTCTCGCGCAGGCAGCACTGACAGATCCGGGACAATTGCTTTCAATCCTTCTTCGCCACCATGTCACAGGAGGGGTCATCCGGCTTTGTCCATCTCCTTCAACACCCGTGTGCACAGCAGGTTTGTCAGAAAGCCGCCGAATAAACAGCATCCTGGAACCATATCAATACAAGTCGCACCCACGACGATACGGTCTCCAACATGCACAGGGTCCACAAGCGTATGTGGCCTCCGAAATGTCGGCGCTTCACACCTCCTCGACGTCATGACTTGTTGCGCAATGTCGTAAACGAGGGATAGGCCCGCAGTTCGGGCAAAGAGTCGCGACTTGTTGCGCAATGTCATAGGGCCGCAGTTCGGGCAAAGAGCACGGGCAGAGCTTGTCTTGCAACACTGTGTTAACCGCACACTGCAACTCAAACCCGAGGGAGGACCTCCTCATGTTCGTGTGAAGAGCTCTTTTGCACGCTTGATCCGCTTGGCGAAGGGCTGCACGAATCCTGCCGACGATTTCAGCTGCTGGCCCGCAGTGTTCCTGAGGAGGCCCCTATTGGGAATCTGCACTTGTAGGGTCGAAGCGATCTGCGGGGACAGGTCAGCAGGTGGAAGGACGGTGATTTCGCCTCGGCTGTGGAGGATTTGCAAGAGCAGGCAGGAGTCCTAGGAGGGTCTGTAGTGACTCTGCTGTGGGCTCGCATGCGCCCGGGCCAGGACTCACGGTTGATGGAAGAACTGCAGCGAGTTGCCGGCGAGGCAGAGGAGCTGCGAAAGAAATCCGAGCCGCCTGGTCTGCACTGGATGAGCCCTGCTCTTGCATTGTCCCTCCTCCTTTTGAAGCCTTGCTCCGAGGGAAGCCGTCTGGGAAGTCTCTGGAAGGAGCCGCTCTTGGAGAGGGTTCACTGCCCTCATGTCGGCTTCCATGGGAACGCTACCCTGCGAGGCTCATTGGCTCAGAGGATGATTTGGAAAGAGACGACCCAAGGTCGTCTATTGCCTGCTCATGGCCATTCTGACGTGCTCCTGCAGATTCCCACATTATACTGGACTGTACTTATTTGGGGACCCTAAGGGCAATAAGATTGCCAAATAATAAATCCCTGCAGGCCGGAAGAGGAAGCATCCACGGTTCCCTCTGCAGCTTCCGTTCGCCCGAAGCTGCAGGATCTTGCCCAGCACAGGCCGGCTTTTATCGGGAAGATCGAATCACAGTGATTTGTAAATGCCCATCAGCTGTCGCTGCCTGTGAAGGCCGGGATAGACAGGTTTGAGTGACGGTTTGTGGGCGCCTGCCATCGGGGATTCCTGTCCGTTCAGGCTCACGTGTCCTGGGACCGATCGTTGGGCAAACACCAACAGTCATTGTGCCAGGTCGCGCCGTTTCGCAGAAGAATTGGAGTTTGTCCAATGCTTGGCAAATCCCAGTTACGTGCCTGCCCGACATGTCTGACTGCAACGGTTTGTGTGTGCTTGATTTTCGTGGTCATCTTGACCGTTGAGGAGGCACACCGAGCCTTTTTTCCCGACTGATCTTCCGAAGATCTCGGAAGCTTCCGACCCCCTCGGCCCACACCGCCACGGTGGCCCAGCCCTGTGGCCAGGATGTGGCTGGCCTCTCAGGGCTTTCTTGGCGATACCGGCTTCGCCCACTTCCTCGACTACCTGTCCAGCCCACTCAGTTCGTGCATGTTCGTGCTGCAGGGGATTGTAGGAATCGAGCAGAGCGGAGAAGCGCTTGCATTTGGAGAGTCCTATTCGCACGACCAAACTGCTAAGGTGCTACTGGAGACGGCCGCAGTATGTGCGCTACGCTGGGTTCCTTAACGGTGATCTGCGCTGCCGAAACGTGCCGACGCTCACCGGAGTCGGATTCAAGGTAGTGTGCAGTGCGTGCTACTGCTCAGATCACCTACCCGGCGTCCCTGGCGATGTTGGATCTTCTGCGGGATCCAGCAGCCTTCCGCTCAGCATGTTGGACAGCAAAGATGGCAAAGCCTTCGGGGATCCCTTTTGGTCCAGGTTCGAGGACGGCTCCAGCGAACAGACGCCGAGAGCTTCCTGAGCAGCAATCTGCTGCATGCCTGGGGGAAAGTCAAGGAGGCCGCGGAGACCGGCGGAGACCTCTTTTTTGATCCTTCTTGATCAGGTTCGGCTGGGCCCAGAAGCTGACCTTGCCGGTCCCTCCCTCTCGTGTCGCAGGCTGGTTCCTTTTGGCACCCGGGACTCGGCCCCAGGCACCGAGGCTGTCGAGGATCCCATCATCGACGAGGCGGCGCCGAAGAGCGAGCTGCTGAGGAGGGCAGCGAGGGAGAGGCTCTCAGCCTTTCTTGATCCGAGTGAGGTCCCACAGGCGACTCTTCCATCACGGCTGGTATCTTCTCGAACGCAGGTGCCACAGGCAGCACCCGTCGGCAGCCGTCGGGTTTCGATTTCATTGTCTTGCCATCCTGGCAGGGCCGGACAAGGGCCAGGCAAAGGCCGGCAGCATAGAAGCAGCGCAGGGCAGCGCCGAGTAGAAGTGGAATAGGATGAGTTCCGCATCATTCGATACACACGAGGCACTTCGCTTGTCGTCTTATGGCTCCTAGAGTGCTACTTGTACAGTTTGGGATTCAAGGCCTTTCTACGCTGTGTGCTCAGAACTTTCGGGGCTGATGCTGAGATGATCGTAAGATGTAGGTAGAGTTCCTGTGCTGAATATCTTTTCGCAGTGCGTTGGTTCCATGTAGTTGCACCATGTTGCAACTCTGGGAAACAGAGCAAAGCACGCCTGCTACCCTCCGAGCCTTTATAACTCATGCGTGGTGACCTTCAGCGCATTCTTCATCTGCTTCATCTCTCGTGTACATACAGTGCCAGTCATCTCTGCAAATGCTAAATTCTGAAAGTTTTGATATGGGCAGCAGCGGTTGAACAGCAAGTCCATTCTGAGTCACACACACACACACCTGCTTCCGGAACTCCAATCCGACATGAAATCCTGCCCTCCCACCCGCTCCACACCGTGCAGCCTCTTAGAACCAAAACCGTGCGGCCTCCACAAACAGCTGCTTAACCAAACCCCCCTGATACAACACCCCTGAGTCCCCAGACTCCCTAGACCCTAAACCCCGAAAACTAGACATCAGACAACAAAAGCACAAGCCCCCCAAAACCAAAGGCCTGGTTGAAGAGGCGCTTGCAGAAGCAGGCAGAGGGGACTCGAGCCAGGACTCGGGGTTAGGGTTTAGGGTTTAGGGCTCAGCCTCAAGGCGCTACATGCAGGGGCAGAGCTCTCATGCGCCTCATGACATGATGACAAGAATCTCGCAAGCTGCAGGACTCTCAGCGAAGAAGCTGAATCCGTTGCTCGCCCACTGCTTTTGCCGCTCGGGTCTGAGGTCACAGGGTAACTTAGGATCAAGGCCAGGGCTCGAAGATCTCCCCACGACGTTTCTACCGCACATCGGGTCCCGAGGGTGTGTGGTGGATCAGCCGAGAAGTTGGTGGAAGCCCAAGCTTCTACGGGTTCTACACCAGGCTTCCGTGGTATGTTGGGCTTGGGGCTTAGGGCTCTGGGGATCGGATCGCAGTGTGAAGTCAGGGTATTGGATTGAGAGCACCCGCTTCTCAAGTTTAGCTGCTTAGCATTGCTGCCATTCGCTCAGTGCTTCTCAGTGCTTCTACTGAGGAGCAGGTCGTGAAAAAGCGCAAGCAGACATGGCAGGACTGCTTGGGTTGACTGGCGGATTTGTGATACTGTTACTTGCGAGATTCCCAAGCTCATGTCTTATGTGTCCTTCAGATATCGCCGAAATCCATCTAGGGGTGGACAGCATGCGCCAGAGAGACCAGCATTTCACACACACCCATGAATCGCAGCTGTGCCTAAACCCTAAACCCTAAACCCCAAATTCTGAGGACCCATCGGATGGAGCCAAAGGTGATCTGGCCGAGGCATGTCCCGCAGCTTAGGGCATCGGCTTGACGGCCCAAAAGCTCTACACCCTCAGAAGTCCCGGGGCCCAGGGTCGCGAGGGTTTAGGGTTCCGGCCCCCGGGGCCATTCTCCTAAGCAGTCACCGCAGCCGGCAAAAAAAGCCCTGCCAGGTCAGTCGACGACCTCCGCTTGATCCGGTGCCATCAAAGGTCTCCGGGATTCGTGCCAATCAGCTGTTAAAGAAGCCAGTGATTGTACTGCACAGAAAGATACAAAAAGGGTGTAGTCAAAGGTTCAGCGGGTTCATTCTTTTTTATGCTGTGATGATGATGATGATGATTCATATGGCAGGTCGTTTTCCTATTGTTGCAGTGGCTTCGATTGTTGCTTTGTCTATTATCCAGATTCTTTTTCTAGCATTTCCACCACCACAACAACGACGACTACTACTGCTACTTCTCATCCTCGGCCTCCTCTTACAACAACAACTACTACTACAACTACTACTGCTACTACTCTACTGCTACTACTGCTACTACTCCTAATCCTGCTCCTAATCTTGCTCCTGATCTTACTCGTATTCCTATGCTGCCTCTGCTCCTACTGTTTCACCTCCTCTGCAGCCACTACTACCACCGCCACCACCGACTGCCCACCGCCACTCATCACCACCACCAACACGCCGGCACCACCACCACCGCCGGCGTCACTGTGGCCGCCACCGCAACAGGACTTTCTACTTACCTTATTCGCGACCTGCAGCAACTATGTGGTGCTCCAGTGACTGTTGCAACACAAGTATTGAGCCATTGTGATTGTGTCCACAAGATTTCGTTTCGGGGTCGTAGTTGTCAAAACATTGTTTGGATTTTGCCATAGTGTATCTTGTTCCTGTTGTTCTCTACTTGTTCATAGTCTTTCTGTTAAACCGCTCTATCAGTATAGAAGCTATTCTTGGTGTTGTTGCTTGCCTTTTGACATTTTTCTTACCGGCTTTCACTCTTTCGAATGCTGGGAATGTGTAGCCTCTGCATCGCCTAGGGCCGCTTTGTCATGCTTCTGCCCACCTGCTGGCAGGCACCGCTCCTGAGAAGCAAGCCTCGCGCAGCCTGAGAAAAGCAGACCCGCGAACAGAGCTTGGGAGGGGTTTAGGGTTTAGGGTTTAGGGTGCCTTGACCTTGCCGTTTCACCACGATGCGAAAGATGGTGTTCTGGGTCAAGGCTTGCGGAGCCTTTGAGAGTGAAAACATGGGCCAGGCAGGATACCGACGACTTCAGCCATCCATTTAGCGGGTCTGTACATTTTAGAAGCACCCCCATCCAAGCCCACCTTTGTGTTCTTCGTCAAGTTTTTTTTTTTTCCCGGTGCGGATGGTTTCCACGGGCACTGCTGCGACACTGATTCTGCGTCTCAGCTGCTCTGTGTGAAACTCTGCGGCGAAAGCTTGGCCAAAGCGCCAAGATTTTCTGAGGCCATCTCTGGGCTTTGTCTTGGACGATGGGGGGCGGATTGCGGAGGCGCCCCTGCTGCATGAAGCCGCGTTTCGGAATCGCAGTTGAAAACGATGAAGTGTGACCATGGCACAGGTCGCCTGTACCTGCAACGGAGTTGTCAGGCCCTTAGCTAGTTTCACTCGAGATTCGTTCGGCCGCCTTGCGCAGCCGTTGGAAAACTTCGAGTGCCCTCGAGCATCTAGAAGCAGCACCTGTTACATGCTGCGCTGTGCTCTCTACAGCCGCTTGCCGAATCAGGTTGCCCCAGGAGGTGGACCCGCAAGCTTCTCGGCACGAGGTGCTCGCTTAGAACACGCCCTTCCTGAGGTACATTCGAAAATTATTAACCCATCATTCCGTTTATCTGGTGATCGCTGTGTTTCTCAATCCTGTGAGCTTCAGCCATGAGTGTTTCAGCACAGAACCCAAAGATTCGGCACCTGCCGGCTCGTTGAGTTGACCCTCTGCTTCCCTTAGATCTCAGCTGGAACTGTACATGTCCTGCGTTCCCAAGCGCAAGCAAGTGGCAGGATCCGTGCCGACCAGGCAGTCTCGGAAGACGGTGGTGGCTGCAGCCACGAGCAGCAGCAGGACGGATCAGTTTGAGAGGGAGTTAGGGAAGGAGGTCCCTTGCCGGGTGCGGTCCGAAAACTTTAGAGCTGCTGTCAGACAGTGTACAGTCTCTCATCTCCTTCCCTGTGAAGCTTGGAGCGCAGGTCTTCCTCGAAGGGCAAGAGTAACTCGAAGTCCCGAGGCGCTTGGCTCTCTTCGTTCTCAGTCGGTTGTGGATGTGGCATTCTGGGGATTCGTGGTAGGGTTCTACCTTGTTGAGTCCGAGTAGGAGTGTGGCTTTGTCCACTCTGCCGCTCACTGCCAGGTGCAGGCGAAATTCAGCACCTGGGCGTTCCACACTCCGCACGGCTACACCCCGTTCTCCAGGAAAGGGGCGATTCCACGAGCCTGCAGGCTTCATGCAGCACCGTATTTCGCACCTTTCGCAGGGAATCCTTCGTGATTTGGTCAGATTTGCAAGGTGACCGGCGTCAACGAAGAGGATCAGATCAGCACCTGCTTGAAGGTGGCAGCAGAGGACCCGTCGGAAATGTATCGCAAGTCCGAGTTTCTGTTGTTTGGCAAGAGCCTCGTACTGTACTTGCAGCACGTTCCGACATCATGCGGACTGCATGGATTTTGGGGCTCGGGATGCTTTGGGCGATGTTCTGTGGAGGACTTTGTGGGTCAGGTCCTTTTGGATTCCGGAGTCTCCTCGATGCTTCTGACCAGGCAGAGTGCTCGCGGGTCAAGATGGCCTTCCAGCACATGCGCCCGCACTCAGCGCGCCCGCAGGTCTGACAGGGTCTCCTTTCGATGCACGGCGGCCACTCAAGCCAGATAGCAGTGAAGATGAGGCAAGCCCAGTTGGAGCATTGGCCGTCAAGTAAGCTTTTACGTGTAAGCTTGTAGGGGCATGCCTGGGCGCGCTGGACTGTGAAAGAGAGCGTCTCTCCGAAAAAGTCTGCTCTCAGGTGCCCCTACTTCGCCGCCCTGAAGCCTGGCTCTCTGGTGCTCGAGGCGCGGCGAGGCTTTTTCAGGTCTGAGGCCTCGGGACCCAGGCATGCGATGCGGGGTTTTGGAGTGCGGGGGCTTTGGTAGGGCGGTTGGGGTGGGGTGGGGTCGATCCGCACAGAGTTCCTTTGGAGGTGGGCTCCCGGTCTGGAGACGTGACCGTGATGTTCGCCGAGCGCTTCCCGGAGCTGCTGCGCTGGTGGGGGAAGTTTGATAGCCCGGGTCTGGGAACTTCATGGAGCGTTCGTTGCCAAGCATTCTCGATAGGAGCCATGGTCACGACTCCGAATAGCATCAATAGCCAATACTTTGCGCAGTGTGCAAACTAAACCTTTGGCCCTAATCCTTCACCAGAAGAGCCTCTATTATCAGGCCAACCAGATGAGTGTCCAGAACAGCAGCCCAGCAGCCGTATCTTATACTCTTGTATTGAGTACAAGTCGCAACTCACGTGTACTTCTCCTTTGCCTCGATTGCTGCAGCCAAGAAAAACAGACAGTTTTGTTGCGGGACGCACCTGTCCGAGTTGCGATTCCGAGGACGCACGGACCTAAAACGACCAGTGCCTTGTGGAGTGTCAGAGTCCAAGCGAGGCTAGAAGAACGAATCTCCAGCCCGTTAAGATACCCTCACCTTTCCTTTTCATGATGCTTCTGTGAAGACCAGCTCGGCAAAGCAGGTGTGGGGCTTCAGTATCTGAAGGTTCGAGTCACGAGGTTTTGCGTCATCCAGGCTGCTTGATTTCGGACACTTTGGTTACGATGTCACACCGGGGCCTATCGATGTGCCGGAGTCTGACGCTGCGAGCACCGCAGAAAAGCAAGTAGTGCCATCACGAGATGAGAACGATGGTTGGCAAGGGCACCATTGGTTTTGCTCATCGTGCGATTGTGAGATTTTCAGATGCCACCGGCCAGGAGCTGTACATCCAGCCGACCGAGGGCACAGGAGACACGTCTCCTGGCCTCTTCATGCTCTTACAGGTGGGCCCGGCCTCTGGGTTTAAGCTTTTCGGGGTTTAGGGCATCAAACTTTGGACTGCTGCTTCGCATGCTTTGCCCATGGAGCCTGACAGCCAGGAACGCCTCACAATGGTGAGGAAAGACCTGCAACCACGAAAGAGGACCAAGAGGCATGCCGTTGCAAGAGCCCCAGAAGGGTCGAGGTTAGGGCACACAAAGCCAGCCACGTTTGCAGTCACCTATAAAGGGGGCTAGCTGAGGCCTCCGAGAACGTGCCTCGAAGCCGAGTTCTTCCGCGGCGTCCTCGAAAGACCTCGCCTTGCAGGTGTCGAGCTCTTCGATTTCGCGATAGCCTAGACATCCTAGACTCTAGACTCGACCCTGGTGTGCCGGATTGCCCGATGAGAGGTGCGGATCCGACGCTTTTCGTAGTATCAACGAGTTGCGCGGCATCGGAGAGCAAGGACGCGCAGAGTCCTTCACAAGCATTCGGGGTGCTCAAGGCACCAAAAGATAAACAGACGACGAAGACCAAACGTCTTGGTCACATTGATCGTACTGCTTGTGGTCACCTGTCACCCGTCTCTGCCAAGGCCCAAATTCCTAGATGGAGGCAAGAGAGGCCGGAGACTTGGAAGGTATGGAGTGTAGTTGCAACTCTCTACAAACCCGAAGCCCCTGGGGAGGCTGGCGGACCAAGCTAGGGCAGGAGATCCACTGCATCTTTTGCGTGAACGCCCGGGCCCGTGGTGCCGTGGCGATGGACCAATTTCTGATTTCTGCCTTCAGCACCCGCAGGTGCTACACTACGTGTCGCCGTCAGGCCGAACCCGCTGCCTTTGTCGCTGCTTGTGTCCTTCTCATCATGCATGCTTCCTGATGAGTCTTGGCTTCTCAATCTCCAGGCCTGGAGAACTTCATGCAGGGCTGCAGCGACCACCTGCCCGTAGGAGGCATGGGGTGTCCGAACAATTCCCAACCTCGAAACTCATCGAAACCCCTAAATCCCCTAAACCGGAAGCCCTAAACCCTGCTCTGCTACCAGTAGGTATGCTCCTGGTGAGTGGGCCCTTTTTCAACAACGGCGAGGCCAGGCCGAGATGGAACTCGGGCTCCGAAGATCCTGCCTTAAGGGAGAAAATGGGGGAATCCACAAGCAGTAATGTTAGCTTTTTTCAGCAGTTGATTGAAGGGAGTAGGTCGTCTCGCCGATCATCGTCGACGTGTTTCTGCTCGTAAGAATCGTGAAGGTGGAAGATCGTGGAAGATCGTGGAAGTGTTCAGGAACTACGGCAGTTCTAATCCCGAGCGCGAGCACCGGAGCTCTCGGCACCTCGAGGCCGCGGAGACCCTCTTAGTCTACGATGCGGCCCTGCGAGCCTTTGCGGATGGTCCTGAAAGGCAGGGCTGCAAAACTCAGTTGAATCGGGAGCCCCTGACCACTTTCCGAATCTGGAGATCTCCAGAGCTTCTTCGAGCCATTAGAAGTAGGGACGAGGCCAAAAAAATGCCAGCCCTGCCTGACATCGCGTGACAGGAAGCTGAAGTGGGGTCGCCCCGTCACTTTGGGGTGGTCTAGCTTTCCTAAGCCCTGAATATGCCGTCGTCTGTGGTGCCTTGTGTTTGCTTACCGGCCTGTGCTTTGCAAACAGGATGGTTGGGATTTTCGCAGCACGACTTACGGTGCTGTCGCAGCTGTTCGTGAAACACAAACATAAAATGGCTAGCTTTGAGAACTTGGAGGGGATGTTCCAGTGGAAGAGTTCGCAGATTCGACTGCTGATGTTGGAGATCTAGCTTTCTGAGTGTAGCACCTTTCGTCAGCAAGACGGTGTAAGTAGCTCACGCATCCTGCACGGCTGCTTCTACCATCTATTGGTCGACGCTGCAGCTTGGCCCGATGTGTGTAGGCTCTCTCTAAAGCTCATCACCACTGAGCCCTACACCCTTATCTCCAAAATCCCTAAGCCCTAAACCCATCCTGAAACCCTGCAGCTTTAAGAAATCATAAGCCAGGCTGTCACGACGTGGTGCGCCTCAAAGCCATGGGTGCCCAGGCCAAGAACCCAACACAGCTGATTTGCCGCACAACCCGGGTTAAGGTTGCATCCAGTGCGAAAGAACGCAGACAACGTTGGCCAAAAGCATTCGAGCCTGATGATGACATATTGATTATTTCAAAGATGGTGACGTATAAAACAAAGTGTATGATAAGCGTGATGATGATGATGATGATTACCCGTGTCGCTTTTGGGGTCATGGTAATCATCTCTTGTGTGTCGCCATGAGTCGCTGTCTTCCTCTGCAGCAGGCAGGCCTCAGCTTCGTCGCGCAGTCGGAGACGGACGGGGTCAGACCCCCTCGGTATTCGGGTCTTGAGCTTTTGGGTCTTTCTCTGCATGAGTCTGTTGGAACGGGGCAGCTTCTTGAGGTGGATGCAGTGTTCATGGCAATTGATGGTTATAGTCATAGTCGCAGCAAGCAGGAGACGGAGAAACAGAAGACTGAAATCATAGTGGTAGCAAAGATGTTGTGGACCTCAGATGTGGTCTGCTCTCTCCGTAGAAGCGCAGCCTCTACCCAGGAGGTGCCTTGCATGAAGCAATCGGCACTCCTCGCCAGTACTCTGACAACACCTGCTGCTATCGTGTCCAATTATGCGTGAGCGGGAACGCACAGTACGCTAGGGGGTGGCTCATAGAGGCAGCAGGGCCCAGTAAAAGATTCGTACTCTGGTTTCCTACTTGTACTCCGTCTCTGTCGCCGGTCGCGTGGTTGTTGTTCTGTCGAGCGAGGTTGGCGGACATAGCTGGATCCTGCTTGCCTTCTGTAAGGAGAGACGTCACGGCCCCAGCCCAGGGGTGCTTGCTGTTGTCTCACTAGAAGATGGGACAGACCAATGGAGCCTCAAGTTGCTCTGCTCGGCCGCACAGAGCCTTGTACCAGCTGCAGAAGTTGCAGCTGAGCCGAGGACTGCTGCCCGAAACCTTGAGACGTCGCTCTTCCACGGCCCTCGCCTCGGTTTTGGCAAGTAGTAGGGCGTAGCAATGGTGAGGCTTCCTAGCTGTAGTGCCTTAGTTATTATCTGCATTAGTCATATGACCATTATACTTTTTTTCATACCATGTTGCCCCTGTCTATGATTTCCGATTTCTGTTCTTTATACGCACTCTTCTGAGCAACAGTGGTTTTCGTGTTGCCAATGCTACAGCGACGACGGCGATTATCACGATGAAAACGACGACGACGACTGCTGCTGGGCTGCGGCTGCTGCGAATGCTACCGCTACGATAACGATAAAGAGAAGAATAATGATAAGAAGTCGTCGTCGTCGGGAGGGGGAACAACGGTACGCATGGTGCCTGCCATAAGCCACTGTAGCGCCAGCAATAGTGGTGCCAGAGTCACTGCTTCAAGTCAGTTGGAGCAAGGCGAATGTCGATTCTACAAGCTGTGATGGATGTGTAATAGAATCTGATAGAAACGTGAACATCAGCCTCGGCATCCTTCTCCCCCGTCCTCGTTCTGCTTGCCGTCTTCGCCTTCTTTGTCCTCATCCGCATCGTCTTCATCCTCCCCTTCCTCGGCCTCCTCACCCCCTTCCTACCACGGTCACTCGCGGAGTCCTTCTAGTCTATTCGTTAACACAGTTAACACAGTTTTTGTACAGTTGTCTTCTTCGTTCAGGGCTTGGCAGCGGAACATTTCGTAAACTCAAGATGCGTCATCTGGCAGCCAGGGCGTGCTCAGCAGTGGAAGACCGCATCAATGCACTGTCCCTTCCGTTACATTCCCTGCAGTAGCTCTGTCTGGACGACTCTACTCTTTCCATGTACTTGCGAACAGGTCTAATTAGTCTAGTTTTGATCAGAGGCGCGAGGATTTCAATAGAGGTCACGATGTTTTCGCAGTCAAGCTTTTGAAGAAAACACTGTAGGTGCAGTCTGGCCTCTTCAACACTGGCTGAAGAAGGCCGGTGTGCCTGTCTCTGTTTACAGGAGGCAACTGGTGGCAACCTGTCTGTAGCTACTGTTCTTGTAGATTTCTAGGTGCTGCACCTGGCAGACTGCAGAATGTGTGGTCGGTCGGGGTTCCTGCTGGATGCGATGCCTGCAGACACTGATTCAACCGTATGTTGTGCCACTTATTTATAGACACACTGTCCGCCAGCAAATTTCTTCCCTGCGGGCAGAGCCCCTGGCATGGAGATTCAGCATATGCTAATGACACCAGATATGGGTCTGAAGCTGCGATTGCAGCCAACGCTGGCGCTAAAATAGCCCGGCGTGAGATAATGCCTGTGCCCTACAGCAGCCCGTGTTGGTTCTGTGGGGGCTCAGTATCCTAAGATAGCATGAGCTCGCGAACGGCTCACGGGAAAAAAGAGCCGTGGCAGCACATCTGGACGCCAGTGACACACCTGGTGCAGCTAGCACACTACATCTTGTAGTGTAGGTAGTAGACAAGGATGTACATGATCCTGCTGCACTTGCAAAATTAACTCTCTCTCCCTCTCTCTCTCTNNATATATATATATATATGGATATGGCAAGAGTTGCTGGATGGTCTCGTCAGATCTACTTCAAATCGTGCCGTACCTGCAACCACACACCTCCTGCGTTCATATCGTTGTATGCTTCAAGCATTCGGCCCGCGCTGGATCTGCACATGCTTTGAGATTCTACATGTACTCGTGGCCCCTCGACACGACATGGAGTTTGAGGTGAGCTTAACACGTTTGATTTTTGCTGTGAAAGTTTGTCATATGTGGGTTTCAGTGTTTGTATCTGTGATTGCACGAACGATGCAAGAATGCATGCATGGATGCATGGATGTATGTATGTATGTATGCATGCATGCACGCATGGATGCATGTATGTATGCATGTATGTATAAATGAATGAATGAATGAATGTATCAATGCGAGGCATGTGTCCGTACATGTTGGCTAGTATACGTATGTCCATGGATACCTATGGATGCATTGGGACATCCAGACAGCGATACATGCATCAATAGATGCAGCAAGATCGTGAGGTTGCAGCCAATGCTGCCGTTAAAACATCCCGATGTGACATACTGCCGGTGTCCCACAGGGCTCAGTATCCTCAGGTAGCATCAGCTCAAAGGGCTCACGGAAAGGAACCGTGGAAACATTTTTGGAGGCCAGTGACACACCTGGAGTTCTGCAGCTACTACATCTTGCCCGACCTTGGCTCGCTTGTCAACGAGATTCTCTTCCTGTTTGCGGCTGCAGGGTTGGGGATTGAAGCTGTGCAGCCCTTTTCATCTTGTAGGTGTGCAGCTTTCGACGCATTGTGCTAAAGCAAGCTCAACCAGTGATTTCTTTAAGTGCGAGTGAAAGTTTGCATGTAGTCACTCGCCATGGCTTGGGTGACCAAGAGTGAAAGGTGCCGCGCTCAGCTGCATTGGTTCAGCGATGTTTTGCATCCCTAATTTGGTATGTTGGTTGCTTCTCCAACTGTATCCATACACAGGGTCTAAGGATTTAAAGGAGGCATGATGGAATCATAGCTACAGCCGTAGTTTGGCGCGTGCACTAGGGGAGCCTGCATGCTTTTGTTTGGACTTTGACTTCCGGGGGGGTGTGCCGGGGAGGATCCTGGAGTATTCATGAAGCTAGCAGCTAGCAGTTGGATGACGTTTCCAAGACTGGCACCCTTCTTCCAGTACCTGGCCTCCTTCGAGGTTTGGCTGGGAAAGGGCCAAGCTGGTCGAGGAGCCTAAGGACAATGTCGGCCCGGCACTCAGCATCTTGAACCATAGTCGATACTGATAGACTTGGTCCTCTCTACTTGCAACATCCGGCTGTGCTGCTTGTTTCTTGCTGCTTCGGACCAACTTCCGGACTTCCCCGACTTCGAAGCCGATATTCTGCCCGCAGGAGCCATGCGGGAGTGTAGACAGCTGAATACTCAACCAAGAGTCCCGCGCTAGGTCTTCCTGGGGGTAACGCTTTAAGCATCAGGCCTACGGCTTGTCGCACACCCGACAGCTTTCGGAGAGGCGACCAGAGCCCAAATCCAAACATGCGCCGAAAGAAATCTAAGAAAGGCCCTGGCCAATATGCGGCGCCGACATCCTTCAAAGAGGCCCGTTTCAGATTTTGAAGGGATCCCGTAGCCGAGGTTGTAGGTTTGATGTGCTTCGGAAGGGTTTCCTGATTCCAGTTGACAGCACATCTATGCTTCGACATGAGTGGGATCTGCCCCGTGGCCCGTGAAAGTTACTATGCATGCTGCATTGTGCCCCTTGGCTGTTGCTCTGCTGTCCATCCGAAGGCGCCGAGACCGTCCTACGCAGCCTTCAACTCTTCGGGCAGCGACGCTCAGGCCCAGAGCTGTTCCGGCCCCGAGCGATTCGTGAGCCCGAAGGGTTCGAGTCAGAGGGTTTCCTTGTGCTTTTTTCCCGTGCCTTGCAGCATTCTTGATGATTTGTTCAATGTATCGGCACAAGTATCAGGAAAGCGAGGCTTTCCTCTCAGAAAGAGCTCTGCGATCTATGAGCATACGGATCTGAGCCTTCTCGGCCCCGCCATGACGCTCTCTTCCCAGATCCTCGTCCTCAAGGTGGGCACCTCCACCATCATGCGATCCGACGAGCGCGGCCAGCGCGTGAACGTGGCGAACCTGAGCCGCCTCGTGGAGGTCATCAGCGACTTGGGCCACCAGGGCTACAAGGCGGGAGGATCTCTATCCCTATTTCGGGCAGTTTTCCAAAGTCGGGTCCCTTTTTGGAGTCCTTTTTTAAGGGTGCTGTGCTAAATTGAGGACCCAAAAAGGGACCCTAGTTTAGAGAACTACCCATACACAAAAACATGGTTGGGTATATAAGGGACCGAAAGCGGGAGCCCAAGATAGAGGTCGGGGGTGGGATGGTGTCTGGTCGCTGCTGCAAGGTTGTCCTGGTGTCCTCCGGGGCCGTGGGCATGGGATGCAGAGAATTGGGGCTGGCGAAGAAGCCGACGGACCCTCAAATGAAGCGTGCTGTGGCCGGTGTAGGTCAGAGCCGCATCATGCGCATGTACTCCGAGCTTTTTGAGACCGTCGGCCTCAAAATCGCGCAGCTTCTCGTGAGTCAGCGAGATTTCATGGAGCAGCAGCGCTGGGCAGAGATCCGGGACACCATAGCAGCCTGCCTCGATGCGGGCGTCGTTCCCATCATCAACGAGAACCTTGGCTGGGAATGGATTTTGTTGTTGTCAGGTCTTGACGGAAGGTTTTGCCCACTGCATCCCAGGAATGATACTACCAACACGGACGGCGTCCGCTTTGGGGACAACGACAACCTGGCGGCTCTCACCGTCACCTGGCTGGTTGTGTGAGGGAAGACCCTCAAGCGCCGGAGGATCCCTGAAGTCGGTGTTTGCCTGTGCAAGTCGTGTCTATCAATGCCCCTCACCATGTCCATGTCCCCCGTGATCTCTCAAGCTGCTCAGGCCGTGCAGCTGGAAGCCGAGGGTGTCTTTCTGTTCACTGATGTCGACTACCTCTACACGGTCCGCTGCCTTATGGTAGGTTTGTCCATACCTCTCTTCTTGGATCTTTTGTGGCTGGCGCCTCACGTTCCCCTGTCACCACATCTTCGTTTTGCTGCAGCTTCTGTAGCATGCCATGACTGATTGCACCTGCGCTGTCTGCTCCAGTATAAGCTTAATTTCGATAGGCTCCAAACAGACCAGCGAAACTTTTAAGCGCAAAGCGATGGGCCGTTCAAGAACTCGGTTTTGCTGACCTCAAGCGAAGAGATAACAGGCAGAAGCACGACGAACAAAAAGCACCGAAGACGTCGAAGACCACGAACGGCGGAAGCGATATGAAGATGGATCGGCAAAACTACTTAGCCTCCCCTCTGTAGCCCAGCTCGCGAAGCGGGAGAGGCCGAAGCTGGCCGAAAGAGGCAACCAGGCCTCAAGCTTCAAGCCATGAGAACGCCCTCGCGACCCCAGTGCTCTCCTGAAAACTCCAAAACCCTGTGGCGTGGAAGATAATGTTTAGGGGGCTTTCTTGGGAAGCGATCTGAGGCCAACCCGAACGTGGATCCATCTGCCGAGCCCATGCGCATAGTCAGCGAGGTGACCTGGGTGGGCATTTTGCTGTTCCTGGGAGGGTGGGCTCTTGGAAGGTCCTGCATTTGGGGGTTTCGGGGGAGTCTTCAGGCCCACGGAAGCAGGTGCCGTTTGCTTCAATGTACTTGGCATTTCCTTGAACTTGATGCTGCTTCCACGATGGCATGTCCTTACACTTGTAGTCGTCAGAAGCCTTGCGAGGCCTTTGAGCTGAACGTGGACACGCGGGAACCGGGCTCTTCCCTCGGCACTGGCGGCATGTCTACCAAGGCGACGTCCGATGCGCCAAGCGCTTGGGGTCGACCGTCGTCGCTGTCGCAAGCACAGTCGCTACCACGTACTGATGTTTGCAGTTCGTTAAACATATCAGCCGGTTTGACAAAGAACCGGAGCATGCGAACGTCCGCACCTGCATGATCATGCATACATAAATACGTGCCTGATGTGTGTATGCCGTATGCATGTGTGCATCTATTTTCCCCCGGCCCCACAGCTGTCTGTCTGCCTGTTGGTCAAGAGGAGGCCCACTGTTCCACGCATTCCGGGGAGATGTCGGGACAGTCGATTCCTCTATTGCTTGTAGGCTTTTCATGCATTCCTTTTGTGTTCAGGAATATCGACCTTGAGAAAAGGCAAGTATATTTCGCCCTCTCTCAAAATCAGAGATACTCGAGGGTCGGACTCGCAGGTGTCAGCAGCTCGAACGGCGCATTGTGCTGGCATCCCATGTGGGATTTTGCACGGCAAGCATCCGGAGCGCATCTTCAGCTTCCTGACCCATGACGAGACTGCCACCTGCCTGCGCTCTGAGATTGACAGTTCAAAGGAAGTAGTTGCAAGTCTGGAATTCGCGCGCATTCGAAACGAGGCCTCCACGCACAGTGGACGGAGCCCACTGGAGTCGGACACCCTCAGCGAGCAGGACATGGAGCATATGGAGCCTGAGCCAGAGGGCACTCTCTTCGCGGCCGACGAAGGGGAGCAGTTGTCAGAGGCAGAGCGGTGGATCCTAAGCCTGCCCGTGGTCGGAGATGTGGATTTGTCCGGCTCGCAGACCAGAAGCGACCTACGGGAGTGCGTCCTTGATACCGTCGCCGGTGCCCTGGGGAGCCTGAAGAGCTTGTCGGGTACGGCGCATCACGGCGGGGTTCGGATCTTTCACCACAACGTGGAGATTGCCAGGACCCGAGTGAGTTTTGATGAGGACGGGGCCTGTAGCCTGCCCAGCTTCATAGCGGAGGAGAGTGTGGTTTTGACGCCGGTGGCAGAGTATCACACTGCCTGAAGTGTCTAGCAGAGTCTAGCATCGGTTCTATAATCTATATCTATATCTTCTGGTGGCTCGTCGTGCGGATTGGAGCTGCGACTCCAATCATCGCCCAGTATCGCATATGCTGGAGACAAGCCACCTTGGCTCATTTTGAGCAACAATCGCTTTTTGTGTACAGGTCTCATTGCGAGCAAGGATGCCGGGATGGGCGACCTCCGCATGTCGGGCGCATGTCACTATACACCCATCAATCCCCCACTGTACAGATCCTATGAGTGTGTAGACCGTGCCGTCCACAGCTGTCAGAAATTCTTGACAGCTTGCCAATAAATCCTAGCATGGTTGGGGCATGCATAAACACAATATACCCATGCATGAGACTCAGAACGACTCGGCAGATACTGCCCTCAGAGCCCGGCTCAGAGGGCGGAGCCTGGGAAAATCATGGTGCTGAGACTTGCCCTGCAAGCCTTCCTTCGCCAGAGCACTCTGAAAAGCATGGGGGAGCACGATAACTTGCCGCCGTTCAGGGACTCTTCGAAGGGAAGAAGGACAATTCGTGCTGCGCTTGGATGCGGCCACGGCCGTCCACAGCCGTCGAAGTGTTTTTGCTTTCTTCTCGTTTCTGCCCAGCTTGGGACTGGATCCTGCTCGCTATGACCCGAAGTTCCCCAAAGGCGCGGCTTCAGGGGCTGGCGGCTCGTGCAGGGGCTCGCACCGCATTCTTTTGGAAGTCCCTGACCAGCCTATGACCACGGCCTGCCGAAGAAGCACATCCCCTTCACCTCTGGGTCCACCCGCTTTGACCACAGGGGCAGGAAGGCGTGGCCGAAGCGCTTCAGCGCTGCTTCAAAGGTGCGAGGCCCCAATGTTCAAAAGACTCAAAGAAAGCAGGACTACCGGCCTGGTCCCGGTGACTACAACGCCGCGAAGCAGACGCTTGCGGGTGCGTTGACAGTGTCTGCCGCGAAGACCATGGGGGTTGCGCCAGTTGGGCTCCCGGGGTGTGGGTGGCTCCGCAAAGACAGATCATGGTTCTTTCACGTTGTTGCAAGCAGCTTGCAGACTCAGTGGACAGCAGTTCTGAGGCAGAGCAGCGCTTGCTCTTCAAGTCTACGAGGTCTTTGAGAAACAGCGGCATGTCGCGTCCACAAGCTTCGCATTCCTGTCCTCTGTCAGTGCGCCCTCCATTCCGCGAGACCACCAGTGCTTTGGATATGACGAGGCTCCAGCCGGGTTTGCAGAGGTTTCTTCCATCGTCTCCCTTGTATCGAGTTTCCCTTGGCCTCCGATACTGCACTGTGAGACCACAATATTCGGATGAACCCTGAAGTAGACAACCCCGAGACCACGCCACGATGCCCTTTCACTCAAGTCATTCTTCTGGACAGCATAACCAACCTCTAACAAGAAGTCTGATGATCAAACAAGCACTACAAGACTGTGGTGGCTGGGCGGTGGGTGGTGGCATCGAGAGGGTGGTGTGTCGGCAGTGGCGATGGTGGCGGCGGCGGCGGGGGTGGTGGCGGTGGCGGTGGCGGCAGCGGCGTCGGCGGCGGTGGTGGTACTGGAAGTGGTGTTGTTGTAGTCGTGGTTCTCGACGGCGTCCTTCTTTTGCTCCCGTCGGCCTCATCATCATCACCTTCCAAAACTGTCATCATCAGCACCATCCTCATCAGAAGCAGCATCTCCCTCTGCATCATCACGATGCTCTTCTTCTTGTTGTTGTCGTTTGTGTTCATGATGATGATGATGATGACGGTCGCCATGGTGATGATGATGATAATGATGATGGTGATGATCTAGTGGTAGTGCTCGTGGTGGTGCTCGTGACGTGTTGTTTCTGATGCAGCTGCTGTTGATGATTATCTTGACCGCCGGCAGCATGATCGACATCTTGGTATCAGCATGTATCAGCAAGGATGGCAATAAGCAGCAAACGACTAGCGCGAGCAGAGTAGAACAATACTAGGTAACGCACGCCTTAATGACCACTGGGTGTTGGCACGGTCCATGGGTACGTAAGATTGGCAAACACGAGGTACTTTGAGGTTGTGTGCACTTTCTTGACGAACAAGTTTGTGTTGGATGCTTTCAAAGTACCGTTTTTTTTCCCAGAGTTTTTTGGGTCGAAGCTCGAAAACACTGGCCCCAGTGGGAGATCTCTAACCTTCCGAATGCCAATCGATTAGCCGGCCTCTTTTTTCACAAATTTCTTCTTGTTCTTCGCGTCTGCCAGCCGACTAAGGTCCGTCGACAGCCACGAGTATTGAAACGGAACATGCAGGAAAAAAACGATGATGATAATGGTGGTGATGAAAATGATGATGGTGATGATGATGCTGATGATGCTAATGCTGATGATGATGGTGATGATGATGATGATGGCCGGCATATTGATGATGTTCATGGGGATGGTGGCGAAGTGCACGTCATTANNCCCCCCCCCCCCTCCACCCCCACCCCACCCCACCCCACTCTACCCCACCCCACCCCCCAAACCAGTAAACCAGCAAAAACCTGCCAAAACCCAATAGTGGGACCAACATAACTGACAGGAGCCGAACCGGGCTATAACAAAGGCAACCACCACTTGACTGCAGGCTGGCGATGGCCGGCTGATCCGACAGGGCCGGAAAGACGGCATCCGAGAGCTCTCCGGCCCGTGGCCCAGATGGTGATTGGCGGCTCTCGGGTGCCGGGCATTCTCGCCTTGATGGGGTGGTTTGAGCCTTGAGCTTCACAGTTTCAGGCCCCAAGGATCTGCAGCATGATTTTTGGGGCATGCCGGAGTCTTTCACGCTGTGCTGTGCATTTCAGCAGTGTTGGGACGATGTAGTGTGCAGAGAGCGAGAGCGAGAGAGAGAAAGAGAGAGATTGCCGCCGGTGTGCCGGCCTGCGATTTTTGATGCGCCTGTTACTCTGTAGCCGGACTCGCGAGTATCGGCGGGTTGCGGCGACTGTGGCCCTGCCCTCGCGATGGTTGGTAGAGTTTGGCTGCCACGAGGGCATGACTACTGCCCTGCTTGCGGAGCGAACTCCTCTTCTGTTGGGCATTGACCGGAGCTCACATGCCGTGCGAGCGGCTGCGAGCCGCTTTCCAAACCTCCGTTTTGGAGTCGCCGATGCGCTTGACAGCGGCATGCATGAGCTGGAGAAGCATCTCCGGAGGCATGGGGCTGCATTATCGGATGTCACCAGCTGCTTCTTGGACCTGGGAGGAGATGCCCGCTTGAGCACCATCTTGTACGCTTTGGCGAACCTGCAGCAGTTAGAATCTCTGCGGCTCTTGGTCGTGAAAAGTGAGGAGATGGTTCGGCTGAAGAAGAACACAGACATGCTAGCTCGAACGATTTCGGGTGAGATCACCGCTGCCCCTCAGACAAGCCCACAAAGTCCTTGAGGTGGAAGAGGCTCATTTGGCAAATGCTTGGTCTCACTGAATTCGCGTATTTGTCGGCTGCTCAGAGGCGATCATAGAAGCTACGCTGAAACAGAGAGTTGATCCGCCGGATGTGGTTCGCAAGAAGGTCGAAAGTCAACCTAAAGCTGAAGGAGGATTTAGGGCGCAGACACTGCACAAGGACCCCCGAGAACGTTGGGAGCTTCGGTGACCGGATGAGACTCTCATCAAGCACGAGCGGACACGCCACATGTATCAGTTCAGGCTGGTGAAAATGTGCATGGAGGTCAGCCGCGAGAATGTCGAATGAGAGAAAGCTGAGTTGGAAAACCTACTGAAGTTTCACCGAGCAGCACTCTGCAACTCCAGGATCTCTTGTACGTACGGAATCGTGCAGGACAGAAGGACCAACGACAAATCCATCCAGGAGCCGCGGACGGATCTGCCGGATGGATTGCCAAAACTGTTGCGAAGACTGAAGCCCCTTTAGTTGGAGAAGATCTTTGATGAATTGGATACAGCTGAGAAGGGGGAGCTTGTTAAGGACATGTTCACGATCCTTCGCAGATGGGTGACATGCTCATCGAGACCGGGATAGGGTCGTTCTGTCCAATGCGCCCACAGGATGAGAATATGATGTCTTTGCCACTTTGCGGTTCTACGGGGCTGGAGGCTTTTCCCGATGCCTTAGCCGAACTCAAAGCTACATTGAGATGGATCTTCCCCACCTTGGAATCATTCCCGACCTTGTTCGGATGCCGCACCGCGCACGAAGCATCGCCTTCCCCAGTCCTTTGGAGTCTTTGTTTTTCTGCGGAGCTCGGGCATTGAAATGGAGGTCGCAACATCGGCAGGGTTCGCACAGCACACGCAAGGGCACGGATCCACGGCTATCAGCTTGTCGACGACTCCACCGTCCTCCTTTCCAGGAAGCGCTTGGGGTGGCGACAGTTTGCAGCCGTTGGAAGGCGGCTAGTCGCTAGCCTTCCCTGCGACCGCGAAATGCGATACGAAAATGACGGCCTCACGGAAAGTTTTGTGGCTTGTCGATGCATTGTTGGTAGATTACTTCCCCTGCAGCCTTGATTGGCATGGCCTGCAGTGAGCCTCTCGTCCTTCTTGATCGAAGCTCCGCTTGAGCTCGGTCATCCTCCAACGGTTTGAGGTCGGCTTACATAGTCCTTGCTGTCTGCCCCCCGACCTCTACACCATTCGGAGATGAAGATGGCTGAGGCAGCTGAGGATGGACTTCCTCCTTCTCCATAGTGTTAAGATGGGGTCTTCCCTCCCTTTCTCGATCGCCGGTAGTCGACCTCCCCTGCAAGCCGAAGGCAAGCCGGGTGATAGCGCCGGGCCTGGACACTACGATGTGAGCCAGGCAAGGACGCCGGCTGGGAGATGTTGAAGCTCCTTCCGAGCATAGCGGTGCTGCTCTTGTGACTGTTGAAGAATATCACCTGTGCAATGCTTCCAGTGCCAGGCGAAAGGCATCGCCAACGGGGCCAGAGGTGGCAGAATTATGCCGTCCGGGCCTCGTTACGTTTTCCAGCTGTCACCCGAAGCCCTGTCAGATCGATCTGCAAACCCCCAGTGGCCCAATGACGTAATACCTCATCACTGGATCCTAAACTCCAATATCCGGACCCCCTAAACCCTAAACCCTAGGCCTAAACCCTAGGCCTAAACCCTAAACCCTAAACCGCTAGAAAGCCCTAAACCCTGAGATCCACGTGAAGCTGAGGCCTGCTTTCGACCCCGCCGCGAAACCCTCCGAAACGCCAGGCCCAGGTCATTACGTCGCAAAGGCCCCGGTCCCCTCATCCCATCCTACGCTTGATGATACAAATCCTGCATGGCCCATAATAAGGAATATAATAGACCATAGCTCGAATAGTTTGGGGTCCTTAAGGTGATGCAGGATTTATATCATCAACAGTCGTGTACTTTGCCCAGAGTAGACTGTACTAGTACTATAAAAATACGAGATAATGGAATATTCATCGCTCTGTGTGTTATTGCACCCCGGTTCCGAACTACACGGAGAGCAAGCGCAGGCCTTCGGCAAGGAGACTGAGAAGCCCATCTACTCGTCTTTCGCCTCGCAGTCAGAACGAGAGCCAGCCTGACAGGTTTTGCATAGTATAGCATAGCATATAGTATGGTATACAGTTTGGTATAGTATAGTATAGTATAGTATAGTATAGTATAGTATATATATATAGTATGGTATACAGGATAGTATAGTAGAGTATAGCAGTATAGGAAAATAGAGTAGAGTAGAGTATGGCATAGTAAAGAAAAGTAGAGTAGAGTAGAGTGAGAGTGCATAGTCTACAGCTCCCTGCTGCAGTGTCATTCGATTCATGCGAGCTGCCAGTCCGAAGTCGGAGAAGAAGGGTGTCGAGATGCCTGGGCCAGGACAGTACTACTCCAGCAGGCCGTGGTCGTCGCGCACAAAACTCTCGAGGAAATTCACAACGACGAGTACTGATGGTGACGACAGAAACAGCAATAGCTACGGCAACTTAGTACAGGTGCCCATGATGACTGCTCTCGGCATCGAATCTTCCAGCCTGCAGGCCGTTCAAGCGTGCGACGCTGCGGGAGCTGCATCCGGAGCCCGCCGGGAACGTTTAGCCTATGCTCTTCGTTTGCGTATACAGTAATGAGACTGATGTGGGGCCCAGATTGCGGCATGATGCTCTCGGATGGAGGCTTACAATTTTGCTGTTTCGAGATTGGCCAGTTTACGGATCAGGCTTGAGGGTTTTGGGCCGGAGGGTGCGGTTGACAGTTGACTTCGAGAAGATCTTTCGGCCGGGAGCTCTGAGCCGTCAATCTCTCGATTCTCGAGTCCGAGAATCCATGTCAGAGGTCGTTCGGGTCTCCTGCAGGTTCCAATCGCTCGTTCTCTTTGCTTCTCTCTCTCTCTCTCTCTCTCTCTCTCTCGCCCGGACGCTCTCTGCCTTGCTAGGAGCTGCAGTACTTCGGAAGCACGGCGGAACGCTTTCCCGAGGCTGGATTGTTGGGAGTCGGGATCACAAGGCTTTAGTGGCTAAGTCGGAGGAGTAGGAGGTAGTAAGAGCAGTAGGAGAAGTAGGAGGAGCACGACCAGTAGGAGGAAGTGGAGTAGGAGTAGGAGCAGGAGCACGAGTAGGAGGAGCAGTGAGAAGTAGTAGTGATAGTGGTACAAGTTTCGAAGTTTCCGCTTCAATCGGGCTGGCCCGAACACGTCCCAGGTGGTCAACAAACCATCCTAACCCCACAGTGAAAGCACGAAGCCGTTCAACAGATCATCAAGAGCCTCAAACGCTTTAGCCCAACCCTACGCGACAAAACCCCAACCCAACAGTATCACTATTATTACTGTAACAATACAAATAAGACTATAAATACCGTTAACACTAGTAGTGATAATCATATTATTAGTAGTATTATTATTATTATTATTTATTATTATTATTATTACATCATTATTACTATTTCTATTATTATTATTATTATTAGTATTACTATTATAATTGCTCTTCTTCTTATTACTATTATGAATAGGATTCCTTACTATTGCGATCCTTATTACGAAGATTCTTACTTTTAACCGGACTACGATTACTACTCCTAACGACTCTCGAGCCCAGCGCAGGGCGAGGCTGTGGTGCTCGCAAGCCAGACTCCGGGCCCGGGCCAGTATGGTGACGTGGACTACCGGAAGAAGGACGGGGCCCCTGACTCACGGGTGCTCCAGCAGGGTTTCGGGGTTTCGGGGCTAATTCGGGGGTGGGAGAGAGTGGATTCGATTCCTAAAACGTCTCTCTCATAGTTACTAGGCTGAACAAGAGCATGAAGAGCCGATCAGAATTAGGAGCTTCCCCTGGAATGAGGCCAAAGTGAATCCTGATATTTACTTAGTGATTGTCACAAACATCAGCATGGTAGGCACAATACCAGGCAACACTTTTCAGCAACAAGACGGGGATGATGGAGATACCACTGCAACAAGAAACAACTACCATTACCACTGACGCTATCAATGCCGCTGCTGGTGGTGATGGTACTGCTACTACAACACCAGCAACTACTGCTAGAGCTACTGCGGCTGCCGTTGCCACTTTCAGGCTAGCTTTTTTGTGGCCCCGCCTGAGAGTCGCGTGATGAGCCCAGAACGTCAAGCCACATAGAGACATTGAAGAGGGCCACCCTGATTGCCACAGCCATTAAGGATCAATACAGCGGTTTCTGTGGACAGTTTCTTTACCTGTTGGCCTCGGCCGCATGCAGATGTATGCAGCTTCTTGCATGACATGGAAGGCTTCGAAGAGTTTCGCCTGGCAGAATGGAAAGCGCTTCCAGGACATTCCGTGCTCCAGTCTGCTGCTGCTGCTGCGGGTGCTACAGCTACTGCTTCTGCGGAGTAGTGATGGCAGTAGGAGTGGTGGTGGTGGTGGTGGTGGTAGTAGTAGTGGTGGTGGTAGTAGTAGTAGTAGTAGCAGGAGGAGGAGGAGGAGGAGTAGTAGTAGTAGCCGTAGTAGCAGTAGCAGTAGCAGTAGCAGCAGTAGTAGCAGCAGTAGTAGTAGTAGTAGTAGTAGTAGTAGAAGTTAATCGTAGCAGCAGCAGCAG